CTTGTGGAGCCCGGTGTTGGGCTCCACACTCAGCAGGGAGCCTGCTTGAGATTTTCTCCCTCTCCCCCTCCCCCTCCCCCTCCCCCTCCCCCAGCTTGCACTTCCTCTCTATCTAAAATAAATAACTTCATATGTAGAACACTTTAAAACTCCTGCAGATCTATAAGAAAAAGTAGGCAATCCTTTTCTTAAGAGACAAACAGCCAATAAACATATGAAGAGGTACTGAACTACATGAGTATTCAGCAAAATGAAAATAAAAATCACACAGTTACTAAACAAACACTCATTAGAATAGTTAAAATTTAAAAGACTGGCAACATTAGTACCAATTGTTGGCTACCAAATCTGCCTTTACCTGTTTTTTTTTTTTTTAATTTCCTATAGTACTATCACTTTACCACCTTCTTACATAAATATTTATTGATTTTTAGTGAGCAAGTGACCCAGCTAGGTTAAGGAAAGTGAATTATGGAACTTTCTGGAACTATGGAAAAAGAGGTCCATTCTTTCAGGTAAGGCCGCTTAATTGGAGCTGCTATATTGGCCATTTTGGTGTTATTCAGTGCAGAGGAAAGCACAGCTAAGAGATGAAATCAGTCTTAAAGATACTATTTGAGCAGCTGTATCTGATTTAATTACACCGGAAGCCACATCCCTGGAGTTTTAATTACATAAGCCAATCAATTTCCTTATTCACTTAAATCAGTTTAAGTTGTGTTTCTGTACTCATGACTGAAAGAAGATTTTTCACTATTACATTGTTATAACAAAACAAAATGATAGACTGAAAAGCAGTGCATTAATCATTCAAAATTATATTTATGGATAATTTATGTCAATGGCACTAGCTTGTGATATTACATGAAAAGGGCAGGATACATAAATGTTATTTAGTACATTGACTTTGGAAAAACTTTGTATAAAAAACGACTTGAGGGGCACCTGGGTGGCTCAGTTGGTTAAAGCACCCAACTCTTGATTTTGGCTCAGGTCATGATCTCAGGGTCCTGGAATCAAGCCCGGCATCGGGTTCCCTGCTCAGCGGGAAGTCTGCTTGTCTCCCTCTCCCTCTACCCTTCCCCCTGCTCATGCTCCCTCTCTTTCTCTCTCAAAATAAAATAAATAAATCTTTAAAAAAAACACTTGAATAAATAGAACTATAAAAAGATTGTCTTTAGAAAATGATTTTTCCTCTTCTTTTTATAATTTTGTATTTTCCAAAGTTTCCATAAGGAGTATATTATTTTTTTAACACTTTTTATTGAGATATAATTCACACACCATAAAATTCACCCTTTTAAACTGTATAATGTAGCAATTTCTAGTATATTCACAAAATTGTATAACCATCACTACTACCTAATTACAGAACATTTTCATCACCCCAGTAAAAAACCCATAGCATTAGCAATCAGTCCTCATTCTCCTTACCCCAGCCCCTGACAACCACTAATCGACTTTCTATTTCCATGGATTTACCTCTTCTGGACATTCCAAATAGAAGCATACAATACATGGACTTTTGTGTCTTGCTTCTTTCACTTAGTATAATGTGTTCAAGGGTCATCCATGTTGTAACATGAATCAGTACTTCATTCCTGTTTATGACTGAATACTATTCCATTATATGGATATACCACCTTTGTTTATCCATTCATCCATTGATAGACATGTGAGTTGTTTTCACTTTGGGGCTATTATGAATAATGCTGCTATGAACATTCATACGTTCAATTCTCTAGGAGTGGAATGGCTGGTTGAGTGCATTTACTTTTTTTTTTTTTAATGCATTTACTTTTATAATTTGTTTTAAAAACACAGAGAATTGTTTCTTAGCAGAAAATGTTGAATGTCAATGCCACCAAACTCAGAGCCACACAAATTCCTTCTCTTGCAGCAGAGAACAATGTACTGTTTTAGAGAAGACAACCATAGGAAAAGAAGAACAAGGACCATTGACTCTTTGACAAGATTTATGATAGATAGCAAGATTTAATTACATTATTTTCAAGATTCCAGAGTAGACACATCAATCAAATGAGGCTGTAAGCTGTTTAAAATTCCTGTACTTATTGGCAAGGCTAAAATAAAGACAATACTTCCATGAATGTTCACATTTTTTCCATCCTTTTCTCTTACCACAGTTTTCCATTGACAGCTAAATTTTATCACTTGACTTATACTACCATTTCACAAACTCAACCAGCATAAATAACTTAAGTACTTACTACACCAATGCAGAAAATTGTAAAATTAGGAAATGCTGATAATTAAAAGGGCCTCCCTTCTGTCTTCAGGAAAAAATAGTTAAATCATAAGATAAGCAAATCACTTAGAAATCTTAACATCAGAATCAAACTCCTGGCCAAATATTCATCTTATTCTTCTCATTGTCTTGAAGTCGGGAGGTGGAATTTTCCTGCACAACTCCATGTACCTAACAAACAGTGACCACTGCTACCATTCTTATCATTAATTTTATTATTAATATTAACTTGGTTATACCATGGTTATCCTTAGACAGTTAAATATAGGGAGAAAATCTGCATTTCTAGAAGGCAAATAGTGATCCTGCTCTTCTTAACCCCATCCCTGTTTTAAAATAAGGGGATTCTACCATAAGGCTTGGTATAGGAAACTATAAAATCCAGGCAGTTACATCATACGTGTTCAAAATAAAAACAATCTAGTCATTTTGGTTCATAATCCACACTTACTTATGAAATCACTATATCCCCTTTGGTGTATCAACAAGAAATGACCCATTTTAATTAAAGATTAAAACAGTTTTATATTATAACATGTAATGGAAGGGGGAACATCACTTATGGAAAGAATTATAAGCACTGGATCCATATATAGAGGGGGTAATGGGGGTTATCTGGACTTTTGCGTATTAAAAACAAATCCACACGCATGTTGTTCTTAAATGCATCACTGCCAATCACTACTAAAATGAAAGCTCAGTTATTCAGTATAAAATAGTGAAATCTAAATTCTTTAGAATTCTAATCCAATGTATCTGTTAGTTGACTTTGAGGAAAGAGGCAAAATGTGCAACTACAGGAATCAGACATTTAGTCACAAAACATCTAAACTCTGGAGAAATAACTATTCAGTCAAATTTTGAACAATGTCTCCATCATAATATAATATCATATGATGAGAATGATAAATCTGATCCACTGTCCTTTCTTAATTCAACAAAAAACATTCTGTTCCATTTAGTTAAGCCTTATTACCAAGGTGATAATTGAACTCCCGAGGTTAAGAGGCATTAATCCCATACTCTCTGAAATACAAAATTGTGGCTAGATTTAAAGAGAAAAGCTCTAAAATATACAGGAAGACTGCATTCAAAAATTCACAAATTGAGTTAGGTGCTTGTGAACACATTTTTCTAAAAAGACACAAATGCCAATCCTTTTATCAGTCAAGTAAATTCAAACTCTAAACGATTATCAGAGTCCCTGGTAATTATCAACCCCTGATTCTGTGCCAGTCAGACGTCCCTCTCTGTCCCCTTACACTAGTTCCATCCCCCCTTAGACTTCCCCACACATCCAAACTCCATGCATTTACCACTTCGTGCTTTTGGTACACTCTGTGCTTCTGGTACAAACGATAATAATGGATAGATGAAAATACAGTTGAAAAAAAGAAAAATCAAGTTATTTCAAAATAAAAGGGGAAAATAACAGCATTTTTACTAGACACTTGGGAATCCATCAGAATCTATGGAAAAATATCAAATACCTACAACACATGCTAACTTTTTGTAGATAGACATACATAAATATACGTAGATGTGTATGTATATCTACATCTGTATCCTCCTTCTCTAGCTATTTCAGACAAGTACCTGGCTCGAGAGAAAACCCTATTCAAAACCAGTCTATTCAATGACACCCCTGCTTTCTGTATGGACCGTTATATCATTACAATAATTAAGCAACATTCTGTTTAATATACATTAGTTTGAAACCTTCTTTAGTAAACAGCAAGAATAATAATTTGGGGATAACAAAAAGTGGTATAATAAAACAGGGGGAAGAAAACATGGTATTTACTTTTAATAATAAACAGAAGAATGGATTTAAGCCATTCCTTTTATTATCTGAAACTAATGAAGCCCTGAAAATTGCTTTATGAAAGCAAACACATCTTAACTTGGAATTAAAAAAAAAAAACTGTAAAAGGTATCACTTTATATATAAAATGTGACAGGGTAAAGAAACAAAGTAAGGCAACTAACTTTCACATGCACCTAAAAAGCTGTCACAGGCATTTTATCAAAACATCCTTGGTGCCTCTATTTGCCATACCTGAACATACTGTTCTGCCGTGCTGCATGTTAATAAAGAATACAAAACAAAAATAAGGACATGTTAGCAGAATAAAACATAAAACTACTGCATGGAGAATTTAAAAATTAATTCACAAGTTTTTGTATCTAGAATTTAACATGGGTCAGGGATTTAACATTTTTAACTCAATTAACAAACCACGCAGCTCTTAGCTATGAATGGATGACCCATGAGACAGATTTAATTTGTTAAAATATTTTGTCCTTTTTAGATTTCAAAGCAAGTTGTAAAATCCTGTTACAAAAGTGTCCTTTTAAGTCAATTTTTAATGCACTTATTAGAGTGACACAGCATAAGAGAACAAAGATATGTCTTTTAGGTTGTGTCTCTTTGATGTAATTATAAAAATAAGGATTTTAGTCATTATTTAGCATCAGGTAAAAATAACCACTGTCAAAATGAAGTGCTACTTCAAATCCAGAATAATAAAACTAAGTTTGTAACATCAGACTTGTACTATACATTGCAACCGAATAACTACGAAACTGAGTTGTTCATAGTTCTTAGTTCCAATCTTATAAGCTTCCATTTAAAACTATGCAATATAGTCATAAACATGACTACTGGCTCAGATCCACTAACATTCCTGACGCATGCGGCAAAGGGGCTAAGCCGCACTCCCGCACTTACTTCGCTTCTGGGACACAGCCTGCAAGCATGCAGTCACAATATCGCAGTTTCTCTGTACTTTGTGCAGAAGCCTGTCTTTTTGCTTCAGCTGCCGAAGTAACTTTGCCGACTGAATGCCAATTCTGTACTTCAGCTCTCGAAGGATTGCCTTCAGTTCATTCGTGTCTACCAGTAAAGAAAAATTAAAATAAATACCCAGAGAGGAATACAAATTCCAATGTAATACTAATCATAGGATAAACATCTGAACATCCATTTAAACCAGGTAATTCTGGGTTCTCACCCAGGATTACGTGTATGTATTCAGCCGAGATATTCTTTTTATTTTTTTTAAGATTTTATTTATTTATTTGAGAGAGAGAAAGCAGGAGCAGGGGTGGGGGGGAGGGGCAGAAGGAGCGGAAGAAGCAAACTCCCCCCACTCCCCTAGGAGGGAGTCTCGATCCCATGACCCCCAAGATCATGACCTGAGCCAAAAGCAGACACTTAACCCACTCAGCCACACAGGCGCACCCAGCTGAGATATTCTGATCAAATAAGTCACTCACCCATTTCCTGCCCTGTCACTGAAACAAATACTGTAAGATAAATTTCATCCCTGAAGCTATTTGCAACATGTAAGCAAAGACTCTTGTCATATTTAGCTCTGGTTACAAATTTACCTTCCATTGTTGAAAACTGGCATGTATATTTTGTATCATTAAAGTGCTCAGATGGTAAGCTTATAAGAAAAGAATCCTTTTGAGTCTGTCACATCAATGATAAACCTAATAGCTGATAACAAATGTTTTTAAAAGCACTCACATGTTTGTACATGATCAAAGTAAATAATAGAACCACATTTTCTAATGTAGATGAATATAGCAATATTGGTTTTGTTTTAAATATACAGTCTTCCAATAGCTTGACTATTAGGTACAATATTTCATTTTAGAAACTCAGCAATTTTTCAAATATGATAGAAAATACATTTCCTTTAAACGGATAAATTAAGGATAATTCTACATTCATAAAATTAATATTCCCAACAGCTGTTTTTCCACAAGTGAAAAAAGATTTGGGAATCAAAACTATCGACAATCTTTATATGAATAATCATTACAATTTGAGAGTTCTGTTTGTCACACCTTTTTTTTTAAAGAACTTATTATTTATTTGATAGAGAGACAGAGCACAAGTAGGGGTAGGGGCAGAGGGGGAGGGAGAAGCAGGCTCCCTGTTCAGCAGGGAGCTCAACACGGAGCTCCATCCCAGGACCCTGGGATCATGACCTGAGCCAAAGGCAGACACTTAACCAACTGAGCAATCCAGGCACCCCTGTTTGTCACTTGATATTATCACTAGTGTGACCTGCCAGTCAGGCAAGAAGCTTCCACTCAACCTGGCATTGGCTAGGCCCTCATTAAATGTCCTATGTGGGATTTGGATCCATTCATTTTTTTTTTTTTGAAGATTTTTTTATTTACTTATTTGACAGAGAGAGACACAGCGAGAGAGGGAACACAAGCAGGGGGAGTGGGAGAGGGAGAAGCAGGCTTCCTGCTGCGCAAGGAGCCGGACATGGAGCCCGACATGGAGCCCGATCCCAGGACCCTGCGATCACGACCTGAGCCAAAGGCAGACGCTTAACGACTGAGCTACCCAGGAGCCTCTGGATCCATTCATTTTTAAGGGGATTTGGAGAAACTAGCGGGGACCAGAAGAGAACAAAGAAGTGTTCAAAGGTAAAAAAAAAAAAAAAAAAAAAAATTTCCAGAGATCAAAGAAAATGAACTTCAGGGGTCTGTATAACAGAAGTGCAAGGGGGGTCCTTTAACAGCAGTAGTATTTGACCACATCATGGAAAATGCATTTGACCTTAAAAAGAACTCCTTTTGGATCAAGCAACTATCTTTGTGATTTTAGGCAAGGTAGTACTGAGTCTCAAATTCTGCTTAGCATACAAGATTATTCTGAGAAACAAATGTGAATAGTCTTTATAAACATCAATATAAAGAACACTAAAATAAGAATAAGGGATTATTATGAGGAAGAGAACAAAGGCCAGTTATTTCTCTTACCTTGAGTTTAAACATGGTGGTATATAGTGGGAAGTAAGAGCACATTTACATTAAATGATAATATTTGTGCTTTAAGGACAATTACATATAGAAACAAGTTACAAGAGGAGATCAGAGGGCTCTTCGTTCCTAGATTCCTTCCATAGAGCAGAGAGCCTTTCTTTGAATGTCTAAAATCTTTCCTTCCAGAAAGAAAAAGGGTAGGAATATCATCATCTTGCATTTACATTATAGATTTCTTCCAACAAAGAGTCATTTTTAGTGACTGTTAAGGTACCTACAGCTCTGTGATTCTCTGAATTATATGTATTGTGCAATATGGAAAAATCTTCAGAGGTGAGTTTAAAAATGTCTTCTACAGCAATATCTGCTGATGTATTTCTGTCCTGAAGACAGAAATAAGGTCTCCTTTATCTTTGTATGCCCCACCACATCAGCCACTTTTGCTGTTAAATGAGTGTTAAATAAATGAGCAAAAGTGAGACCATCAACTGACAATGAGTGGACAACCTCCTCTCTAAGGCATTCTGGTGTATACGATAACAATAAAAATACTATCTAACATTTGTTGAGCATTTTACAGACATTAACTTATATAATTATCACCACAGCCCTCTCTCAGGTTAGATGTTATTATTATCCCCATCTGTAAGTGAGGAAAATGAGACACAGAAAGGTTAAAAAGCTCGTTCCAAGGTCACACAACTAGGAATGAAGAGTGGCAGGCTCTCAGCTCCAGCATTCTGACCTCAAAGTCCACCTCCTTTATGAAAATGCTGAGAAGAGAGCCAAGATTTCCTGAGAAATCATTTTCACACCGCACGTAAATGAAGGATCTACACATGCTAAATATCTTTAAATAGGTGCTACAGCAAAATTCCTAATAGAGGGCAAAGTGAATTAACACACCAGTTATCTGCATTATATGAAATTCTTACTAAGCATTATGTTAGCAGGGACATTTTTTGACCCTGAAAAAAAATCAAGTAATCTAATAAACTATAAAATTATTTATGCAGGCAGCTGTTCTCAGGTGCTTCCAACCTGTTTCTTTATTCTTAGTATTCTAATGATCTTCATCAATAAAGGGGTGTCTGTAAGACTATTAGAATATGGCACTTTTGTTCATTCTAATAGGGTTCATTTGAAGGAAAGAAAAGGTTAGCAGGCAACTAACCATACAAGAAGACTGAGACTTGGGAAAAACAGACTCTTAGAGGTCTTATGAATTAACAGAGTGGTCACTGGTTTGAAATCCACGTGCAAAGCTGTACTGTTACCTCTTCCTTACAATTTAGCTTGCCAAATTTCCTCTTCCAAAAGGAAATTACCAATCCCCAGAATTTGCTCAGGAATGAAAAGTGAACAGCCTTGCAAAAACAGAAAGCCAAATCATAATTCCTCAAAATTGACTTTGTTGGATTCTGAAAGAACTATTGCCCTACGGAACTTTTGGCATAAACAGACACTCTGAGAACAGCCAAATAACTGTATAAAGTGAAATGGCACTATTCCAGGCAAAGTCCCAGGCAGGGGGAGGAAGGTGGAAGCCATTTGTAACAATCAGCTGGGAGGAGAAAAAAAAAAAAAAAAAAAAAAACCTTTGCTAGGAAGCCAAAATAGGAAGTTGAAAGCTGTTTACAGAGATTTGAGAAAGCAGACAGATTTATTCCTTCTCTGGTGTGTGTGTTTTTCCCCCTCGCTGGCACCAGCTAGACTGATTACAATTAGGAGTCGGGAGACCATTCTATAGTATCCTCTCCTTCCTCCCTCTCCTGGTAATTTAGCACAAGGACATTAATTCAAGAACCTAGCATCTGTTTTCCACATCCCACTTCATTTTGTAAACTGAAGTCTTGATATACCTATAAAAAGGGCAACTGTAAGAACTGTGTTAGTGCCTGAAAGGCAAACTATTAGGAACAGTTGGGCGGGGTGGAAATCTCAATTAGGACGTGAGCATCAGAGTCTGATAACAAAAGAAATACCAAATTAGCCTCTGCCCACCAAAAGCAAGGCCATTTTCAGATCGACCTTTCCAACTGAAGGTACCAGCAGTCAACCCTGCGACAGTGCCAACACAGTAGGGCCCTCCACTAATCCTCCACCGACGGGGGGAAAGTCCACCTAGTGAGCTTCCCGACACCAGACAGGCCGGCAGAAATGGAATTCATCCGCTCTGCTTAGAAACTGCATTATCGGATTATTCTGCCTCACTAGTAAAACACTATCCTAGCACTGTAGCCGGGAAAGGGTGGATTAGGGGAAGGAAAAAAAAAAAAAAAATCAGCCGCCGCACGAGTCGCCTCTCTTCTCCCGGCGCCCCCTAGGTAACTTCTGATACGCGTATCAGAAACTCCAGACCTGCCCTAACAGCTGTTTTGGTGAAGTCAGAAGGTGGACTGCCTCTCCCTTCGGGCCTCCGCAAACACAAGGCGGGGTGAGGAGTGCAGACCCGCCGCTACCACCCCCACCCACTGAGGTTCCTCCGGACAACTCGAGAGGGAATGGGGGCGGGGTGGGGGGCAATAAGAACTAAGTTTAGTCATGAACTGGGGACACTGTGGGCACCAGCGGCGGGTCAGGGGAGACGCCCCAAACGTACAATCTGAGCGCTCGGCGGCTCGGCCTGGGGCGCCCCGGTGAGCGCTGGAGCGCGGGCGGACGCGGCGGGGTCGGGTTCCCGGCAGCCCCCGAGTCGGCCGGACGCGGCGCTCACCTTTCCGCCGCAGGTACTGCATCTGGTGCCGCTGGCTCGGCCGCTCCTGCAGCTCCTGCAGCTCCTGCAGCACGCGCGAGTCGCCGGCGCTGCCGCGGCCGCCCAGGAACACGTCGGAGCCGGAAGCCTCCGTGGAGCTGTCGAGGCTGTCGCGGCGCCGTTGGCGACCCCCGGGCCCGCGGCCCCCGCCCGCCGCCTCCTCCTCCTCCGCGCAGCTGTACAGCTCGGTGAGCAGCCCGCTCACCAGGGACGCCGTGCGGCTCGTCCGGCCGTCGCGCGGCTCGCCGGACTCCGGCTCCCCCTCCGCCTCCCAGGAGTCCCGGGAGCCCCGAGGCCGCTCCGCCGGGGGCGCCCCTCGCAGGCACGGGGCTCGGGGCACTCCCGGCACCGCTTCCTCCGCCGCGTCCTCCGGCCCTGCCCCGGGCTCCGGGCGCCTCAGCCCGCCTGCGAGAAGGCCCTCCATGGCCCGCGGCGGGCGACAGCCCCGCTCCTGCCGCTCCTCCCGCCCTGCCGCGCGGGTCAGTTCCGGGAGGAGGCGCGGCCTCATCGGCGCCGGGGGTGCCCTTGGCCGGGCGCCTCGCCAGCCGGCCCCAGATCCCCGAGACGCTGACCTCCGGCTGCCGGGACCCGCGCCGCGGCCCCGCAGCTCCCGGCCGGGAGGAGCGGAGGGGCGGGCTGGGGTGCGGCCACGCCTCCGGACTACCTTGGGACACCTGCGGCAGGTGAGGCCCCTCTTCTCCTGGGAGCGCTATCTGATCCGCGTCAAGGAGGAGGATGTGGCCAGAACACATCAGGATGAAGCCTTCAGCCGGAGGGGGGAGGGCGCTCTGGCCGCTGCCACCGTCACTTTTAAGCACGTGATTTAAGTCAAAAAGAGGGCAGAAACTCCTGCATCCTATTCAGCCACCAGCTAGAAATCATGCCGGGGAGAGTTCTGAATGCCACTCAATAGGCCGAGGCCAGGAGCTCCCTTCTTCTCATAGTCCGGGCACAGTGCCCAGCCCTTCCCACCTTCCTACCTGATCCGGGCGCCTTTCAAGGCGCTCTTCGTTTCTGACAGTAACCTTTTCAAAGACTTGGCATGTACTTGAGATTTAATAACGCTGTGAAGTTTTATCCTTCAGTGAAAAATAAAGTGCTAGATTAAGATCAACTAATTCCCAGGCATGAGACCTAACAGAGAATGAGGGTTTTAATAAATGTCCATGAGATGACCAACCCAATAAATTGACATGGCTGATTCTGACAGTAAAATTAAAAGTTTACATGATATCCTGAGAGATGTATCTTTACATTAGATCTCAGTGGAAGAACTCTGAGATGCTCCTCCACTGTATGTATTTTTGTGAATTTAATAACAATTTTCAGTTTTTGAGCCCTTGTGTGCCAGAAACTGTTCTTCGTTCTTTGCACAAATTATCCTATTTAATTCTTAACCCTATAAAGCAGGTAAAAAAAAAAAAAAAAAACTTTTTTTTTTTGTATTGAGGTATAATTGACATAACATTAAGTGAGTTTCAGGGGAGCCTGGGTGGCTCAGTCGGTTAAGGGTCTGCCTTGGCTCAGGACATGATCCCAGGGTCCTGGGATCGAGTCCAGTATCCGGCGCATTCCTCAGTGGAGAGCCTGCTTCTCCCTCTGCCTGCCACTCCCCCTGCTTGTGCTCACTCTCCCTCTCTCTCTCTCTCTCTGACAAATAAAAATCTTTTTTTTTTAATTTCAGGTGTACAACATAACACTTCAATATTTGAGTATATTTCCAAATGATCACCAGGATAAGTCTAGTTAACATCCCTCGCCATACATAATTACAAAGGTAAGTGCTATTTTATCCTCACTTTTCGGATGAGGGACCTCAGGCACAGAGAGACTGAATTACTGCCCATCACAAAAAATAAAGTGAACTTCTCTTAAAGCTTAAAGTGTCTGGTTTTCATTATGGATAAATACATATTCCATAATGGATGAATACATATTTGTCTATCTCCTACCACTATTAAATATTTGCCATATTTCTTTTTTTTTTTAAGATTTATTTATTTATTTGAGAGAGCGAGAATGAGAGAGAGTACATGAGAGGGGGGAGGGTCAGAGGGAGAAGCAGGCTCCTCGCTGAGCAGGGAGCCCGAAGCAGGACTCGATCCCGGGTCTCCAGGATCATGACCTGAGCCGAAGGCAGTTGCTTTAACCAACTGAGCCACCCAGGCGCCCCAAATATTTGCCATATTTCTAAAAGGAGCCACAATGCCCCTAGTGAACAACAGTGGTGCTCTATGCTTGTTTAGCACACTTTTTACTTTTCAAGGCACTTTCATAATAGAGCCTGACCCTACAGGTAAAAACCTGATGTCTCTTGGCATACCACCACAATACTTGTAAAAAGAGTGAGAGCAATAGGACCCTTTTTGAAATTGGAGTTAATATAAGAAAAGCAAAATGTTAATAACTTTTTCCTTAGGTATCCAGAATTTGAAATTATTCTAGAACTATTATTTTAGGTTTTATAACTGTATTAACTACTACTACATCCATTTAATTTTAAAATGTATGAAATAGAAAAAAATGAAATTATTTTGTTTTGTCTTTTGAGCTTTTTTTTCCTTTTAATTATTGTTTCCAACATTGAAGAGAGTCCTGGGAGCCTTCTTTCATATGCCAAACTTTGCAACAAGCAGGACTTTCATAAAGGGAAACACTGAAATTGGATCTTTTTTTTTAAGATTTTATTTATTCATTTGACAGAGAGACACAGCGAGAGAGGGAACACAAGCAGGGGGAGTGGGAGAGGGAGAAGCAGGCTTCCCGCCCAGCAGGGAGCCCGATGCGAGGCTCAATCCCAGAACCCTGGGACCATGACCTGAGCCGAAGGCAAACACTTAACGACTGAGCTACCCAGGAGCCCCTGGATCTCTTTTCTTATTTGACTTCCCAGCCCTTTCTCTAACTCCATCCAGTAAGAGATGAGATTACTAGTCTTCAGCACCTCATGTTGGGTATCTTTACCAGGACGTATGGGTGAAGAAATTCAAAGTGAGCTGAAGAGGATGGTGAAAGAGACCAGTAAACACAATAGGTCATTGGTAGTCAACATTTCTAAATTAATCAGAACTTCAAATATTATTTCTCATTTCCCATCAGTACTAAATCACACGAGGAGAGGAAATTGGCAAAATAAAAGATAACAAGGAAAACAAATTCAAGATCCTTGCACTTGTTGGAATGATTATCCCCTAGGTATGCACATGACTCTTACTTCACCAGGGCCAAGTCTCTGCTCTATCATCTTCTCAGTGGGTCTAACCACCCTATTTGAAACTGTGGCTCCCTACCCTCCCTTTACCCCTCCTTGTTCTCTTTTTTCCATAATATACTCCACCTTCCAATATACTATATCATCTACTGATTTATTGTCTACCTTCTGCCAGTAAAAGGTAAGCTCGGTAAGGCAGGAATTTTTGTCTATTTTGTTCACTGATGTACACCCATCAAGCTAGACAAAAGACCAACGAACTACCTGCTTTCCTATGAAAAGAGATTCTCATTAAAAAGAATCTTAGAAGTGCTGTTGGCAAAGAGCAGCCCATTTTTGGACCTTACATTATTGCTGCTTGGTGACTGGAAGGCCCCCGGTGAGTTCCCTGAAGCTCTGAAGTCAATTAATTGGCTATAAGAGAGAACTACTGGTCTCAAAGAATATGATTTCAAACTGATCGTGACTAAAGGTAATAGCTAAAATTAGATTTACTATGGTTAATTATGCTACTGATAATAATCAGTATTTCAACTTGTTTAGAAGCTTAGTTTTAATATTTAAATAATTATACTAATTATTTTATACCAAATACAAGGTCTAGTGCTGCATTATATTTACAAGGAGCTAAGAAGCATCTGTCTCTAAGTTGAGTACAATTTACTAAAATCTACAGAATGCAATTTATGTGAATCTAGTGCACAAGCTACAGTCTGTGAACATTTAAATTATTTCCAAACAGGTATCAGGGTCTTGTCAATAACTTTCTGATACCCATCATTTAAAACTACCTAACAAAAAATAAAGTGAATTAATGCTTGTTAAAAAAAAAAAAAAAAAACCTACCTTGGGCATCTGGGTGGCTCAGTCGGTTAAGCGTCTGCCTTCTGCTCAGGTCATGATCCCAGAGTCCCAGGACAGAGTCCCAGATTGGGCTCCCTGCTCAGCAGGGAGTCTGCTTCTCCCTCTGACCCTGCCCCCTCTTGTGCTCTCTCTCTCTCTCAAATAAAATCTTTGGAAAAAAAAAAAAACTACCTTGGGCGCCTGGGTGGCTCAGTCGTTAAGTGTCTGCCTTCCGCTCCGGTCATGATCCCAGGGCCCTGGGATTGAGCCCTGCATCATGCTCCCTGCTCCGCAGGGGGCCTGCTTCTCCCTCTCCCACTCCCCCTGCTTGTATTCCCCTCTCTCTCTGTGTCTCTCTTTGTCAGATAAATAAAATCTTTAAAGAAAAAAAAAAAACTACCTTAACAAGACTCTCAACATTTTTGATAATCTGATAATTTTTTTCAGCATGTTCAGACACACACATAAATACTGAACTGCTATGACAAAAGCTTTGTTTATGCTTGGAATGGCCGATTTCTAAAATCTAGCATTTAATCTTTCACTCTAATCCTTCAGGGATTACTCATTCCCAAGCATAAGAGAAATTCAAAAGGCCATTGCTGGGTTTCAGCTTCTGCTCATGGAAGCTCATTTCTGCTCTTTATTTTTGCTGATTAGAACTTATTTATATGCTTGGACTACAATACAATCTCTATTCTCAGTTTAATAACTATACATGAAGAAGACTCATATTTTTCAATCCAAAAAGTTGGGATGCCAGGTAAACAAAGGATTTTAGTACTCTTAAAAACAATCAAGCCGGGGCGCCTGGCTGGCTCAGTTGGTTAAGCGACTGCCTTCGGCTCAGGTCATGATCCCAGGGTCCTAGGATCGAGCCCCGCATTGGGCTCCCTGCTCGGCCTGAAGCCTGCTTCTCCCTCTCCCACTCCCCCTGCTTGTGTTCCCTCTCACTCTGTCTCTCTCTCTCACTCTCTCTATTAAATAAATAAATAAAATCTTTAAAAAAACAAACAAAAAACAATCAAGCCTTAGACAGACCTTAGGAAATACACAGTAATACATAGTAGACAGTCAATAAACAAAGGCTATTAACGGTGAATGACATTTAAGTTATAAAATTTGAGTGCTTAGAGGAACTTTGGAGATCTGACTACTGCTTAGTTAATTGTTGTTACACTAGATTTCAAAGTGACAGAATATAACCTTTTCTTTATAATAGTAAAAAATTGTGATTGCTCAATGCATATCAGCTGGGATCCAAACTTCTGATATCCCACCTGTACTCATGTGACATTCTTTGAGAGTGACGTGTCTGCCATGCCAGCATTTAGGTAGCCACTGACAAAGGGTAGCAAACCTAAAATGACCAAGCTATTTTGTCTAATTTATTGTTTAGTGCCACATCCATGGTGATTACTTTCTGGTGAGCATAAATATGTCACCAACGATCTTCACACTTTGTGCCTATTCTTGCATGTCCATTCTTTTGCCTCTACCTCAGACCTCCCTATTTCCAATCTTCCAGTCATTTTCTTTCCATACTCATGATGGGGTCAGCCAAGGCCATTCACCACTATCATTGAATGCATATATATGCTAACCTCAGACCTCCCTTACC